ATCCTTCTTTGCACCATCATCTCCAGAGATCCCACAGTCGTCCCCAGAACAGAACCAGCCTTCTTTATCAGGTTGTTTAGAAAGGTCCCTGGCTCTGATGCTGCTGCCCCAACAGATGATGGCAGAAGAGATGATGCTCTCAACAACAGACTTGTAGAAGATCTGCAGAAGAGATGATGCTCTCAACAACAGACTTGTAGAAGATCAGTTATTAACTTAATAATTAGGATATCATCAGCTTATCTAGCAATATTGTTGGTTATGATAATGCATTACTGTTTGGTCTGAATCCTAATTTTATGTAACTTTATTGAGTCATTTTTGATGTCAATAGAAACAGTAAACCACAAATATTATTTAAATATTAAGATTTTCCAGTTGAAAAAACAAACAAAACAAACACTGCTAGTTTACAGGGAAAAATTCAACTTTTTAAGGTGTTTTTCCTCAAAATCAGGGTTTTAGTTGCTACTGCTAAAAAAAAAATGCTACAAAACTTTTTTAGGATTATATTTCAGACGGTTCATTAAAATGTAAATGTAAAGTAAACTTTAGAGCAGTGTTCCCCAAAGTGGGGGTCGGGACCCAAACTGGGGTCCCGAAACGTCAAGGTGGGGTCCTGAAAAGATTTTCTGAATTAATTACATTTTTGCCTTAGTTGTTACACAGGAGTGAGGTTAGTGTATTTAAAATGGATAAATGTAGTAAAAAAATATTGTTACTTTACCCATGTTTAGTTGACCTGATACAAATGTTTATCATCCAAAAACAGTTGGGGGCACAGGTCTCTACTGTTATTTTGTGGGTCAGAAGCTGAAAAGTTTGGGAACCACTGCACTTTGGTTCCCAAAGTTGGGCTTGGGACCCAATTATGGGTCATGAATCACCTTGGATAATCTCCAGAAATCAGTTTAAAGGGTAATAAAATAATTGTTAATGTAATATTTCCCTATAACTACTACAAAAACACAAAATAAGTATAAATAAGTATTTATATTTGTGTATACACAGTTAAGATTGTCAAAAAGCCTGTGTTTTTAGGGTTATTAACAAAGTTTGTGTACTCAGACCAGTAATATTTGTTTTTTTTTTTTTTGCCATGGATATTTTGTGGGTCAGAAGATAAAAGTTTGGGAACCACTGAGTTAGTGTGTCTTTGAAGAAACATGATTGTTCTGTACACTTCTTCTATGCTTATTTAGAGTTAAAAATTGTGGTTAAAAACATTTTTAACCTGATGGGGAAATAAAGTTACACTTTTCTGTATTTGCATCACATTGTCTTCTGCACATAAAAACTCTTAATTCTCCTAAAAGTTCACAATAAAAAACAAACCGGACAATAAAACAGCTTGTGCCAAAGGATTGTGTTTGGTTGTTGCACAAATAAATAACTGAACATATATATATTCTCTCCATGCATGAATAAAGCGTGTGTTTGTCAGCTGTGCATCCTGTGAGCCTGCAGCAGAACCGTCACTTCACGCAGAAACGAGCCTTTTCTGCCCGACATCATCTTCCTCCTGACGCCGCTCAGGGAGCCTGAAACGACGGGTGCAGTCATGGAGGCGACTCCCGGAGACGCTTTATTTACATCCGACCAAACGCTTATAAGTTAGAGACGAGCCGATGCGTGTGTCTGCCTCTACTTTCACCGACCCCTCCTCCTCCTCCTCCTCCTCCTCCTCCTCCGCTGGCAGAAATTTATAAAGAACAAAAAATCCTCCGCGGGAGGAGGGAGGCTGATAAACGCCGAGGCTGAAATCGAGAGGCGAACCCAGGGAAAGAGGAGCGATTTGTACTCGGGACTTTCCCCCTCTGAGCACCCCGAAAGGAGGGGGAAAAGTCGCAATACTGTCAACGGAAAGGAATGAGCTTCTAGGGGCGTAAAAACGTCCGCAACCGTGGAGACTTTATATATTTTTATTTCGATAAAATATGGCCGAGAACGTTCTGGACTCTGGCCCGCCTTCAGCCAAGAGGCCTAAACTCTCCTCTCCGGCACTTTCCGCCTCCGCCAGCGACGGTAAGTGTTGACCCTGATATCGGTTGTAACGGCCATGTTCATTAACTTTCTGGGGTTTTCCGGTGCCTCGTTGGCTAAAATGGGCCGAAGAGGAAAGACTCGTTGTTCTGTTTGTTGTGGGTCGCTAATGTTAGCGTGTCGGACGTGAGGAAGGGCTGTTAGCACACATGCTAACAGCCATTTTAGCCGGTGTTGTGCCGAAAAAAAGCACCCCTGCCGTGAAAAGCTCCCCCGTCACGGTAGGCACATTACTCGCTCAAATAAAGAAATATGAGTGCTCTCAACAACACGGTTATCAGAATATAATCCACATTATGCGTGTTTTTATCGAAACTGACCTGGGAACAATAGTTATAATTATATTAAAGCTAGCTAGCTGTGTGTATAAACTAAAAACAGTCTTTGAAGCAGATCAGATGAGTCTGACAGCATAACCTGTCGTAAGATATGCATCCTGCCTGCGTAGATGCGTATAAAAATTAAACATTTGTCAATAATTGTGTTCCTAAAACCTAATGTGAGAAACACGTTTTAAATGAATAAATCTGCCTTCGGATCCAGGGGTGCTTTTTTCCGACACAACACTGCAGGGAGCTGTTAGCTGTTAGCTAGCTGTGTCCACAACTGACGGTCCCGTCCATGTCTAATAAAGGCCACTTTGGTCCGGTTCGGATATGAGCTCGGTCACGACAGAAACTTGCTGTGAAGTTTGGACCACTTCACAGCTGTGTCACCTGCCACCTGTCCACCCACAGGCCCGGTTAGGACCAGGTTCTCAGGCTAGCATGGACTGGAGGAATCCCGTAGAGCTGTCGGTACTGACCGAATGCAGATAAGGTTTATAAAACAGGTTGTTGAAGAGATGAATTTAGGCCCAAGGCTCTGAGTGATTGTTAATAAACATGTTGATGGTGTGTAGCATCAGTCAGGAGAGGCCACTTTAAGCTACTTCACCAAATAAGTAATATTTGTCATTTATTTGATGACTTTGAGCTGCATCTTGTGCTTTCTGTTCAGCACTAAGTTTGCATTGGTTTATAAACTCCAGATTTTGCACATTTTTGTAAAGTTGCATGGCATGTTTTGAGCATGCTGTAAGGCTTTAAAGAAAACCATCAGTATGGGGATGCAATTTATTGCTTCCACATTTACAGCTCTCATGTAGGGGTGGGAGTGTGAAGGGACATCACAATTCAATTTGATTACGATTCAAAGGCCTGCGATGCAATGATAAAATTATTAAAGGTGCATTTCACTACATAAATACACATCAAACAAAATCCTGAGCAGAGACTCTGTCCTATAAAATATAAAATAATTAACTCTACACATTTAATCAAAGGGGAGTCTAAACTCTGAGCACAGATACATGAAGTCGTAGTTTTCAGTGAATGAATGCCAACTCTAATTCTTTAAAAGGTAAAATGGTACTGAACTTACAGTGGGGAAAATAAGTATTTAGTCAGTCACCAATTGTGCAAGTTCTCCCACTTAAAAAGATGAGAGAGGCCTGTAATTGACATCATAGGTACAGTGGGGAAAATAAGTATTTAGTCAGTCACCAATTGTGCAAGTTCTCCCACTTAAAAAGATGAGAGAGGCCTGTAATTGACATCATAGGTAGACCTCAACTATGAGAGACAAAATGTGGAAAAAAAATTGAGAAAATCATTTTGTCTGACTTTTAAAGTATTTTTT